TGTTTCAAAAGCTAAAGGGTTATCACTTAAGTCATTGGGATAAGTACAAAAAGAAAAGGATATGTTTTATAGATAACAACAGCCTATTAGAGAATTTACATTAACCCTATACATTAACCTAATGTATATGAATATTTGATAACGAATAAGTGCTACGCGTATATCAAATTCTCTAATTAAATAAGAATGATAATTAGTTTTTGCCTATTTGAAGCAGTCATGTGATAAGATGAACATGTATAGTATGTAATAGTTAAATGATAAAGCAGACTATTGTTACTATTACATATATAATGAAAACAAAATATATTTACCTTTTAATCCACTGGAATAAATCATACAGTATGACTGAATAACTCGACTAATACACTGAAAAATAAGCTGGTTGTGAAAAACTTAACGGATGAAGTGAAAAATCACATGTCATCTTTCAATTTCATATGACTCAGGAAAGCCTCTTGTCTACAACATCTAACTTGAAGAAGATAGTTAGATAATAAGGCTGGTAAAAATGCTAAATGTACAATGATATTAACTGTGATAAGATTATTAAATTGAAAATCAATGTGATGAAGGAAATGAAGGGGAAGTGAAGAAAAAATGATGATATTTAGTATTTGGTGGAAATGAAGTCTTGGTTTCATCTAAAAACACTCTCATTATCAAGGCAGATAGAACCTGTACAAACACGTTAACATGAAATTTAAGTCAATTTACTAGAATTCGTATAACTTTATCAACGTGTAAGCTGCATAGTTGGATCCTAAGTAAAAGATTTTGTAGGAAATTGTTGATTGCCGGGACTATTTGAATCTAATCCATTGGCAAGCTGATTCGGACGAAGTGAGCCCTAAATGAGTTGTTACAAATGAATTTGGTCAGATTTCTGAGTACTTCGTCGAATATGAACATCCTCTCGAAGGCAACTAATATGATTAGCTGTATTGAAGTTTGTATTAGTGAGCACAAAAAGATCTTACATGGGTGGAAATCGCTTCAAAGAAAAGAGAGTTACCTACCAGGTGACTGGCTGCATTATCCCGGAGAGATTGAACAATGATCTCCATTCAAAATTACAACCGAAACAAGCTGGCTGGCTTCAAGAAAGACAAATCACATGTGGATAAACATGCAACGCTACCCTACACATCATCATAGAACAGAGCATAGAATGGCAGTTGACTGGATCTTTACCTCAATTTCATCGATTTTGAAAAGGCCTTCGATAGCGTCGGTTGAGAAGTAATTTGTCAGGCGGCTGATTAAACACTACTGTTTTAGTGGCACAAAGCATTGTCAACCCCATTGAACAGCAGCTATGTAGTATATAAGGATGCTACATGGCAGGTGATTCACAATGAAATACTCAACTCAGTGATGTCTTTGATGTGAAGACAGGAGTAAGACAAGGTTGCCGCATACCATCACCGACCATCTTCCTGAATGTGGTCAACTCGACTCGAATGGATCATGCAACAAACTGTGAGGAGTGAGAGGAGGGGTATACACTGTTTGGACTAATGCGAAAACCCTATATGATTTGGATTTCGCCAACGATGATGATTTATGTTGAATGTCTTGTCACACAATCTCGAAGATCTACACGTGAAAGCTAACAAGTTTGCAGAAGAAGCGAGATGAGATGAGATGAGATGAGATGAGGTGAGGTGAGGTGAGGCGAGGAGAGGCAGCGGAGGAAGATGGGACTCCCTTCAGGTGAATGGAGAGAGGACACAGGTGATGAAGATACCGGAAAACCACCACCAGCAACAACAACTACATCACCACCACCACCAACAGCAACAACAACAACAAGCACAAGTCACCATCAACGAGAGAAATCTAAACGAAGTTGTCTCTCACTCACCACCTAGGCTAGGCAGCATCGTTTCAACTACAGAAGACACAGGCATAGATGAGGATGTCGAAGCAGTCAGGATTGGAAAGACAGCAAGACAGGCCTTCCTGCATTAGTCTGACTCAGTGTAGAGATCTACTACACTTAACATAAAGCGTCAAAAAGATCCAAACTTTCAACATTAACGTCAAGTCAGTGTTTCTAAATGGTTCAGAAACTTGGTGCGTTATGAAAAGCATTTCCAACAAACTGCAGACATACGTCATCAACACATACCACCTACACTCACTCGATACTGAGGATGGAGATCAGATGGATGGCGAGAATAATAAGAATAAGCAAAGAGGAACTCTGGCTGATTTCTCAAAGAAACAACTAACCAACAACCCATCACCCAACAAATATGCAGACGAAGGTAGTGGAGATGGATTGGATTGGATATGCACTGAGAAGGCGGTTTGTGGACATCATGCGCCACACCAAGCCAAGCTCTCAAGTAGGACTTAAATGGTGAACGACTAGTTAGGTGTCCGAGAGTGACATCATAGAGGAGATCTTGTTAAGAAGAAATGAATTATTATTGGCTGTTGTGGAACCAAGTTAAGAAGACTGCAGAGAAGAGAGTGAAGTGGCGACGTGCTAGTGAAGCTCTGTTTTCCACTAGGAATTCAAAGGACAAATAACTTTAAAAAAATAACTAGGTGTCTGAGATACGATAACTACGGGTACCAGCTGTTATCAGAGCCTTGGATTTGTAGCCTGGATATATATCGGTCTTGGTATATTAGCTCTTTTATTTTCCTACCGAGACTGAAATCCAAAGATTTTTACAACAGTGACTAGGTCGGAATTCTCGAAAAGGTGAACTTTTATATGTACAAGTTAATACCGTCTCAAATTAGTTATGACGCGACAACCTAACGGACTGTTTAGTCATTAGTTATCCCAGGAAGATGGAAAACGGATGAGACAGCTTGGTCAATAGCTTCTCTTAGTATGGAAGAAAAATGTAATAATATATGAAATCTATAAAATAAACTGGACAGAATTAAAAATGAATCACTTAGTAACAAACAACTGCTCGAAAATACTTCTGGGTTGAAAACATACTTATATCATGTAATGCATCTTATCTTTCAGCAAGTACCACTTTACTAATCCAAAAGGTGTATAGTCAGTCCATCATAATCATGATGTAACTGAAATAAAAGCAGTCGCATACCACATTGTGCATAACTTCACATTCTCAAATCCGCATGTCTCCTTTACGTTGTGAATTTACACTTCAGTGGCTGAAAGTCAAATAACGTCTTAAATAAAACTTTTTTTCAATTTGATGGTTGAGGAACCTGAATTAGTTGAAAGGAAGTTTTTATCCTCAAACAGACATCAAGTGTAGAATCACTGTAAATTAGGCACAACTCAAAGTGTCAGAGTCTTCACAGTGAAATCAAGCCCTTCCAGTTCCTTGGTGTTTGCAGCATTATCAAATTCATAGCTGCACAGTTTGTTGATTATCACGAGCACCACTCAAATATGTTCCCCACCCCAAAGCCACGAAACAGGCCTTATTATCTCAGTGGTGACGTCGCTGACTACAACACCAGGTGACGTAGGTTCGAATCCCAGGGGGGATATGAGTTCCGTCAGGGTTACGGATTCGCCGTGCTGACGAGTGCTGATAAGGACGGAACCTAGGTCCAGGGCCTCCTGCTGATTGTCTCCTTCTAAACAATATCTATCAAAGTGCGTCGCGATGTTGGGCTGCTGAATTTGGCAAAATGAACTGTAGAATTCGCTCAGTACTCAGGACTAAACGACATGAAAATGGTTGCTCTGTGGTGACCAATCACTGTTGCAACACATTATTAGCATAATGGTGAATGAGGAGGTCTGACATTGCTTACTGCTGCGTGAAGTCAATTTTTTATTAAGGAAATCGAAATTTCCCCATCTTGTTTGCAGCCAAGAGTGTTTATTCCGAGTGGTGTGTCACCGACATTCTAAACCCAGAGGCTGATTAACTAAACAAATCAGATAACATCAGAATATTCAGTATGCAACATTTTGATCTTGGAATATCATTCAATTGTCTTCGATTTCAAGATAAGGAATGTTTCTTGAAACAAACTGTAACATTTTATTACTTTCCAGCACACTCAACTCCATAAATACTTATGCTGGATGGAACTTTTATTTATGATAGTGATTATCTCAGGAATAGTGACCTATGAAAATTTTGCTTTCCGTCCCAAAATGATCAGAAAGTTTTATGTCAAAATTTCAACCGAACAAATTTATGAATGATCCATATTACAATTTTTCTTTTTAAGGAGAATCATGCTCACATAGCTGGTCTTCATTATAGCAGAAACATGCAAACCTGAAATAACTATCTGACGAATATATTAAGTGCAAATTAAGGGGACTGAGAAAGAAGGATGTATTAATTGTTAATTCAATGGTCAAACGATAGGTATCCTGACGTGTCGGTTGAACTTGCATATCACAATGACCCAACAATCTATGCTGGTGGAACACTTGTTCCCTTGACGTCCTACTATACCAGAAAGGTCTGTTGGATAGTGGTTAGACAAAAGACAGTGTCGATTATAATATAAATTGACACGATATGATGGAGTCCGAGGAAAAAGTTATACTGTTAACTGGAAGGTAGTGTGACGGCAGTAAAGTGTTCCTCATAGATGACCAGCAGTGCTACTTTGATGCTACCTTCTCTATGGAAAGGGTTAGAAAAGTTGGGGCTTAAAAACGGCACACTTACACTGCTCTCACCCCGTGGTAAAGATATCCCTTTGGCTGTATAGTCACACAATAACCTTTTTTTTTCATGTACCTTAAGAAGAACTAGCCTTCTATGGGGTGGGTAGCTCGCGAACTGTCAACCGTCCACACACTTCCAGCAGTACACATGCTTCCAATGATTAACTCATTTGAAAAGTATTTTGCTCTATGTTGAATATTTAAACTTCCAGAAAATCTTTTACTGAATATTCCATTTATTAAAAATTGTGAAGTTACATACTTTTGAATACATTTACTTATAATTTATACTTTCAAGTACACTTCAATTGTACATTGAATTAATCTTTTTATATTTCACTTTTAAAAATATATTTAGGGTATTCCAATCGGTTTATCTGCATCTATTCCCTTTATGCTACAATCAAGTTATTATACAGGAAGTTATCAAGCACAAGCAACATTTTCATTAGTCTTTTGGCCATTTTCATTTAAATTAGCCTGGGCACCAATCATTGATTCAATATATAGTACACATATTGGACGTCGAAAAACTTGGTTAATACCAACACAATATGCTATTGGTATTGAGTTAATTATTTTAGCTAATTATATCAACAATTGGCTTGGACGAGATCCTGATAATCCTTGGAGTCCACTAGGTACACATCATCCAGTTAATATATTGAGTTTAACAATTGCATTTTTTGGATTGACATTTCTTGCTGCAACACAAGATATTGCAGTTGATGGATGGGCAATATCAATTCTCTCCAAGTATGTTAAAGTTGATTGTAAACATTATAGTTGTTGATGATTCAAAAAAATTTATTATACTACACAATTCATTATAATTTTATAACTTCATATTATTTTACTGGTATGTACATTGATCAATCACTGGATAGCGACTAGTTCCATGTTGTCTAGCTCCGAATCCTACCGATCGAAATAACCACTAAACAAGGAGGCTCAGCATTACGGTATACGCTGATGGATATTATCTGGTTGGAAGCAATCGGAAACAAAGGTAAGTGCGCCTCAGGTTGCCAATACGCCTAACTGCTGACCAGTGTTAACAAGCACGAAACATTGATGAAGGAGAACTTTCTGTCGATTTCCTCCAACTTACTGCTTACTACGAAAATTCATAACGATGGTGGTCACACTGAAAAATGATTGACAGAATTTAGTTATTACTCAGGGCTAAACGGCATCGGTGATCAATCAGTGTACTTAAACCAGTCCAACAGGAGGTTATTCATGTCCCGAGTAGCCTAGTGATAACGTCATTGACTGCAACACTGATTAATATGGGTTCATACCTCACTCCCTACTTCGGTTCTCTCAAGATTGAATACGAGTTTCAACAAGCGAAAAACCTTAATGAAACAGGGCTTCTTACCAAATGCCTTCAACCAACTAACATTCGTGATCTATTCTATGCGGTAACGTTTTAACTTGTACGTTTGGTGTCCTAATCAAGCAGCATTTCGATAGAAATTACTATCAAGATTTTGTAGATTTATGAAATATGGAGTTTAGAAGTCTCACAGCTCTATTTGATCGATAACTAGAGCCTAGGAACTAGAGATTCCCATCCCACTGCAAACTGGATTATTTAAAAACTTCGTCCATCATGACACATGTGAACAGTTAACTGCTTCACAAAAAAGTTTATGTAACTGGATAACAAAATTCGTTTTCAGTCATGTCAAACATACAGATGGAAAAAATCAACATAGAACATAGTACATAACGCGTTCCTTCAAATTGTCACATTTCACAGTAGTATATAAAAAACAAGTGGATAGAACATGAGTGATATCGAAGTACACAAAGTTGTGTAATAGAATGAGCAATCTGAAGATAAAGGTCAGTGCGAACATTTAAACGTAAGAAGATATCGACGAGTGAATATATCTAAGAAACTGTGACTCATTTCCAGTCATATCACCAAGAGTCCTCAACCGCTGATTCCTCTCGTCTCAAGGACCCCAACCAGTTAGGCTACATCACCTCACACGACTTAGACCAATAGTCAGTGACTTCATCGACTGCTGCCACGTCTTGGTCTCACCATCCTGAACCCTGCTGCAACTTAATCCGAATTCCCTTACCATGGCAAGTCGAGCTAGGCAATGATACGGCATGCGTAACACACATCCAAGCCATCTCAGTCAATGGAGGTTCACAACATCATCAAGCCACTTGCTTATCTTGCCTATTACCCTTCACCTGACCCCAACATTCCTCACACGATGATTCTACCGAACTCGAACAATGCTACGAAGATATCTGTGGTCACAATCATGTGAACGCCTCATATCTTCTACTTTTAACAATCATGTCTCATAGTCGTAAAACAGGATAGAACAGACTGCAGCGTAGTGCACTCATCCTCTAATAGATAGTTCTATATCTCACCATTTGGTGCCACAGATAATTCATGTAGGCAAATACCAAACCAGCCTTCTGTATCCAAGCTGAGATTTCATCGGCAACCAGCACATTCAGGCTGATGCATTACCCCAAGTACATGAAGTGGTCAACACATTCCACTTCATGAACTACGAGTGATTGCATAACAGTTCTGTAGCATCATCTTACATTTGACAGGCATCAGTGAGACGTATGCCAAACACACTTAGATTTCTGCTCAATGCGTTCACAAGATCTTACGTTTGTCAGTGTCTTCATCTAGCAGGAAAATATCATCTTCATACTTCAAGTCAACCAAATGATTCCCAGGGGGTAGATCAGTCCCTGTTAAATCATACCTACCTAATGCTATTTCTATTAGTATGCCTGTAACAAAAGTAAACAGGAACCGTGACAGCGGGCATCCATGGTGGATATCACTAGTTGTTGTCATTTCTGCTGTAAACTCCTCATAAACCCTTACACAACAGCATGAGTTCTAGTAGGGAATTTCATGACCTCTGTATACTTGCTTGGTACACCCTTCGCAGTCAGATGCTACCTGACCATCAACAGAGTCAATTGCCGCCTTCAAAAGACTGTAGTATGTAGAACATAAATCCAAATTTGTTTGATACAGTGAAAGTTAGAGCAATAGGATAGGAAAGATATTTTTGAGATGAAAGGGGGTTTTTAATTTAGAGGTATGGTTAATGCGTTCGCCGTGAAACTTGAAGGTCCCGAGTTCGATCCCTGGTGAGGTGAGGTCATGGGTGCATACTACCGAGGAGTCCCGTACTAGGAAGAAACAGCTGTCCAATTCTCCCATATTTTCAATGATTCTTCAATTGATGTCAGTCCGTGATGAATACTACCTCTAGAAAAGATATTATTGAGTACTCTACTGATATGATGATAAATATAAGCGAACTAAAACCGAAATATCAAAATTTATAAACTATCGATATGTTTCTTGAAAATATGTTTACACAGAGACTTAAATCATAATTGTTTTCAGTGTATTTACCTTTTTCATTTGATGTTTCTTAGGATGTATCATTAATTCAGAAAATTCATTTCAATGTATATCAAATCCCGTAGTTCATTTCTATTTTGATATAATGTATTTTAATGCCATTTATTTTAGTGAAATGATACTATCAAATTATATACTAATTTGTTTTCACTAGGAGAGTATATCTTAGACTAGATAATGCAGATCTACTCTAATGTTATTGTGTAGATATGCGTATCAATGGGTTAGTCTACTTCTAATTAAGTAGTAGGCTAATACATCAAAAGTTTAAGCTTACAGGCCTATTAGGTATATCAAGAGAAACAGAAAGATATGAAAGAGAATTTACTACCCGAGAATATAGAATGGATATTTTGTGCTTACTATAGGTTCTTAGACAGTACACACCCATAATCTCATAAAATCAGATAAGCTATTCAGTAACTTGTACTTACTATCAGTTATATAGCTGATGTCATTTAGGACAAAGAAAACTTTATCTGAATTCATCAGATTATCATAAATAATTGAAATAAATAATTCTTTAAATGACGTCTTCAAAATTATGATATTACAGTGAATAAACGTGGGAGACAAAGTTTTGATGACAGTATTTCGTGTTTGTTACATTATCAAGTGACAAAACTACTTTAGTTTTTTTAATGAAGTACGAAGAATAATAGTAGAAGAGTTTGCATGTATGTGGTTTCTGGATTCTCCTCAGCTGTTCAAAAGATAGCAGAGAACAGAGTGGAATGGAGATATGCTACTGAAGCCCTATGTTCCACTAGAAACCCAATGGATAAATAATAAATAATTTATATATATATATATATATATATATATATATATATATATATATATATATATATATAGTATTATTTTCATTATTTGTCCCTTGGGTTCCTAGTAGAACATAGGGCTTCAGTAGCACGTCTCCATTCCACCCTTTTCTCTGCAATCTTTTGAACCTGGCTTCATGACAGCCCAGAAGCTTTAATTTCCTCCTCACACTATCTCCTCCATATCACCCTCTCCTCGGACACCCAACTCACCTTTTTCCATCTGGGTCTCACTCGAGTGATTGGCACGTGATGTCCGCGAATGGTCTTTTCAGTGCATGCCCAATCCATCTCCACTTCCTTCTGCTTATTTGTTGGGTAATAGGTTCTTGATTGGTTCGTCATCAGCCAGAATTCTTTGTTGCTTATTCTTCCTGGCCATTTGAGCTTCAGTAACGAGTCAGAGTAGGCAGTTGTTGATGAATGTCTGTAGTTTGTTGGGAATGCCTTTCGTAACGCGCCAAGTCTCTGAGCCATATAGAGGCACTGACTTGAATGATTTAATGTTGAAAATCCGGATGTTGTTCACACTTTGTAGTGAGTGCAGAAGATCTCCACACTGGTTTCAGGTTAATGAACGCCTGTCTTGCTTTTCTAATGCTGGTTTTAACGTTCTTATCTGTACCTAGGGTGAAAGAGGCTACTTCCTTTAGGTTTCTCCCCTTGGAAGAGGATTGGTAAGAACGAAATCATGGTTAAGTGAGAGTAATAAAATTAATACAGCTCAGAGTGATAATAGGTTTTGAAATCAATCGAAAGATAAAGTTAAGAAACAGAGGGTCATAAGGTCATAAAAATTTGTGTTTACAAGTTTAGCAGAATAAAACTATTAAGACAAGATAAGATCAGTTTTGAGTCTTTCAAATGCTATTGCTTCAACGAACTGGAAGAGGATTGTCTTTGTGACACAATAACAAACTTACCTTTCAAACATGTAACTACTGTACACTAAAAAAAGTGTACAGAACACTTTTAAGTTATATTTAATGAAAAATTTTGACTTCTTGTGACTTAATAATGAAATGAAATCTGAAAGGAAACTAATAACCGCAGATTTTAGAGCAACAGGTTAACCACTGTCTTTTATGATACTAAGTATAAAATTAAGCATATAAATGAAATTCTTATGTTCTACATCTAAATAACGAACCAAATTTCGTCACAAATTACTTTCATTGTAGCTACCAGTAACTATTTCCTAATATTACCTTATCCCAACTTGAGAAGAAGTTCTAAAAAGACTGAGTTCAATGTGTATAACGTTGAACAAAAACTATTACATAACTATATCACACTGATCAAATGGATAAGAAAGAAGGGTTTTTTGATTAGCTCAGGGAAATATAAATTCCAGACGGTTGTGTTAACTGTTACCAGTTCCACTGAACCAATTTCGTTTAAATTCGGAATGTCATCCAAAGAACAAATGGATACTGAAAATTAACTTAATTATTATGAACAGTTTAGCTTTTCAGTACACTGCATGAAATTACCTTCCT